ATATGTTCAAGAAAGAAAGGAATAAAAAGAGTAAGAACATTTTAATCCCATTGAAGAAATGCTTTTTTGATTTCTAATAAATATTTATTTTGCCTTGTTATGGTCACATTTTATCCTCACCTTACTGTGCCAATATGAAGACTGACTAGAAATCCTAGAGTGTTCTTTAACAGGAGTGGATAAAGGGAAGACTGGTTTTTGGACCTGAAGCATTATTATTGGGCTTCGCTCAGGGACACAGCCAGCAAGCTGTAAGACATGTCTCTTTTGTATAGTGCTTACATCTGAAAGTGCATTCATGTCTGGTACCTCATTTGAACCACTTAGCAACTTGGAAAGCAGTTTGAGACTCAGAGGAGACTCAGGGAGTTGAAGTGATGTGCCCAAGAATTCATAGTCGGACAATGTTAGCAGTTCAGGCCATATGACCTTCAAGTAGTGCTCTAACCATTGTGTCCTGCTGCCTTGCAACTTATTTTGCATGGATATAAACGCGTGGCTCCACGTGGAGATGAGAGGGTATAAGTCCCTCCTGTATACTTCATAGGATTCCCATGAGGAGGTAATGAGAGAATGAATATGGAAGAGTTGACATTATTACTATCATTATTGCCTATCAGTCCGACTCATATGTGGATGTACTGTTTCATTCTTTTGAGTTATTTTATGAGTTTGGCAGTTCTCAGTTTATTTATTTATTTTTTCTTTTTTCTTTTGTCAATATACAATGTAGTTAGTTATTGTGTCCCATCACCGAAACCTCCCTCCCTCCTCCCTCTCCCCCCTCCCACCCAGGTGTGTCCCCTCCATTTTCTTGTTGTAAGAACTTCAAAAAAAAATGTGTGTGTGTATGTGTGTGTGTGTGTGTATGTGTGTGTGTGTGTGTATGTGTGTGTGTGTGTGTATGTGTGTGTGTGTGTGTATGTGTGTGTGTGTGTGTATGTGTGTGTGTGTGTGTATGTGTGTGTGTGTGTGTATGTGTGTGTGTGTGTGTATGTGTGTGTGTGTGTGTATGTGTGTGTGTGTGTGTATGTGTGTGTGTGTGTGTATGTGTGTGTGTGAATTGATTCATTCACTTTTAGCTCCCTCCAATAAGTGAGAACATGTGGTATTTCTTTTTCACTGCCTGACTCGTTTCACTTAATATTATTCTTTCAAGGTCCATCCATGTTGTTGCAGGCAGTTCTCAGTTTAAATGAAAAGATACTGCTTTGTCTTGATGGGTTGCAGAACTTGTAGCTAATTTATTAATAAGTGAAATATTGCATTTGATGAATTATTTACTTAATCAAATGATTCCCAGAAAACTTCCTTCACTGGAATGTGACATGTTGAGTGACAAAGAAAAGGGAATTGTACATAATCCACATCCTAGTCTAAATAGGCTTAAGCCCATAATCTAGGAATGTGCTATCCATGAGAACATTCTGGGTGGACTGATAGAAAAAGAGTGGAAACCCCTGTTGTAGGATATATTTCTGGGAATGGGATGCCTGGGTTAATGAGTATAAATGTTTTTATGGCTCTTGATACTGTAAAAAATTACCTCCTGAAAGGATGATGTCAATTTTTTCAGACTTTGAGATTGTACACCACACTTTAAAGCTCTTTCATTCGTGTTGGTTATCTTAATAGTGTGAGTATTATAGGTTTGGTGAGTATTATACCACAGTGTAATAGGTGAGGAAATCAATACTTGGAGACAGATGGGATGACATGCAAAGGTCATAACACTTTTTCTGGCCCTGAGGATTCAGGTCCTCTGAAGTTTAGTTAGTACAGTATCAAAAGATATCACCTTTTCTTACCACACTAGGCTAACTTTCTGACAATAACAGCAAAGTTCTGCGTAAAGAAAATAATTCAGTCCAATTCTAGAAAAACATATGTCACCTACTATGTGTGAAGATTTAGAACCAAATTCAACAAAAATTGAGTATGCAGTATGTGCAATGAGAGAAAATACAAAAACGAATAAGGTAATTTTTTCCATAAAAGATGGTAGAAGGAGTGGAGAAGAAAATAAATATTTATCGAGCACCTACTGTGTGCCAAGCATTTACACACATTGCCTCACTTAATCTTTGCAGCATCCCTATTTCCTCAATCAGTTCTCCCTTCATTTTCTAATAGTTATTTCAAAACTATCGTATGTCTTAAACCTGTGAACCCCATCATTTCCATTTCAATAGCTGTAGTTGATTTCATCCCCTACTTTACAGTGAAAATGGAAGCCATAAGATGGAAACATCTTCAGCTTTTGACCACCAAACCTGTGCATTGATCTGCATCCACATCCCTGAGCTTTGGACCCACTCCCCTGCTCACCCTCTACTCAAAATAATAATAAAAAGCAATAAAAATCGTGCTTGGCAATCTCTCTCCATGCCCTTGAGACTTTTTATGTTTCAGGATGGTGAAAGTTATTCCTCTGCCTAATAGATCTATGTTTTAAAAACAAACCTTTTATGTTAAACATCTATTCGGTTGTTAATGTGGCTCTTTTTTTTCTTTCTAAATTGTACTGTGGTAATATCCTGTAAATCCCAGTTTTTTGGTTGACTTTGTTTACTAATCAAGCTTCTGTTTTTTTCTCTTGGCCAAACAGAAAATTCAATCTCATTTTTCAGTCTGATGGCATGTAAAATTCTGGGCTGTTCTGCTCACTTTGTGGTTTATGTGAATGGAGCCCCCTGGGGTCATGCATTGTGGAACCCATGTGGCAGCCCTAGGTGAAGTCTCCTTTGAGTGAGCCATCCAATCATTAATATGATAAGTATTAAGGAACTATTATCTGCCCAGCATTGGACTAAACTCTTTGTGTGAGTGTGTTGGGGTGGGGGATACAAATAGGGTCTCTACAGGTAGATTACAAGCCTCTTGAAGGCAGTATATGTTGGAAGTGTAAGGATATTTAAATAGCTTTGGAAGTCCCTTAAGCAGTCATTCCCCTTCAGGTGCTGTCTTTGTGGGGTATGCAAATAGCAGCCTTCCAGACACTCCCTGATCCAGCTGCCCTGCTGCATTTATGACTTGTATGTCCTGCCCCTCCCCCAGCACCATGGCCTTGTTCATCTACCACAGGACCCTCAAGCTCCAGTTTCTGCCACTGCCCCTTTCCACTTGCTCCTCCTATTGCAGCAGTGACTACATGTGGTTCACCATTCCTGTCCCATGGTATCTTCTGTGGTCTTCAGTGGCTATCTCAGAATCACCTTTGTGGGGAAGCAAGCAACAATCCACTCTTCCAAGGGAGCCCTTCCAGATGGTTTTACACTCACTGAATCAACCCTTATTTATCCGACAAAATTTATGGAGTTCATCCTGGGTGTTAAGTGTTGCGTTAAGTGGTGTGGATACTACAAAGAACAAGACAAATGCTGTCCCTGCTGCCTTAGAGCTTTTGAACGTTAATCAAAGAGTCAGACATTAACTGCACCTGGTGTCAATTTCATAAATCATTGTTTTTCTGGGTTTGGTAAGTGCTAGTCTAGTAGTGTCAGTGACCTTGTAGAACAGAGTTGCCTAACATATCCTAAGTCATATTTAAGAATATGTCATCCAGGTAAAGGGAGTATAGGGTAGAGCAAGGTTTCAAGAAGAAGAAACAATGTAGGTAAAGACACTAAGGTAGTAGGGAGTTTGGTGTATCTGAGGACTGAGAAGCCTGTGTGGCCAAATTCCTGGCAGCAAGAGGCCAAGTGACATGGAATAGGCCAGAGGGGTGGGCAGAAGTCAGAGCATGTAGGACTTGTCTGGCCATGACGAGGCTTTGAGATTTCACATCAATGGTAAGGAGAAGCCACCAAAATGTTTCACACAGGGGAATTATTGAGTATGAGTGTTTCTGTTTTTGTTTTGTTTTGTTTTTCTGTTGGGTTGTAGGCTTAAAAGGGTGTTTTTTTTTCTCCTGCTATCTTTTGGGACAGTTTGAAGTGTATAGAATGCAGTGAGTTTCCCTTGGGAGTGATGGGGAGAATACTTGGAAAGTGACTGGGAAAGAAGGAAAAAAGAAGGCAGGGACATTGGGGGAATACAAAGACTTCTTGGTAGAGAAGGGACGTTTGAACTCACTTGTTTACTCAACTCATTTCACTGGGCACTTATTAGATTGAAGACACTGAAAGAGGCACTGATCATGTCTTCAAGATTCAATAGGAGAGAGGGGCAGAGGGGCAATTAAGTCAGATAGAGGGGGACTAAGAGGCTTTGCACGTGAAATGAGAGTTGAGTTGCATTTTGAAGGAAAAAAAGAATTAGCTAGAGTGAGGTCTGAGTGGGGGTGCTGGATGGAGGAAGGTGGGAGAAAATTCCAGGTGAAAGAATCAGTCTGTTTGATGGCATGTGGGAATAAAACAACAGGAAGGATGCTGGAACAGAACCGGAAGGGAAATGAGTCTAAAGAAGTTGTTGGGGAGGAAGGGCAGACTATGAAGGGCCTTTTGTGCTAGGAATTTGAAGTTGAATAATTTATTAAGTACATACTCTGCTAGGCACTGGGCTAAGTGCTTACATGCATTAGCCCACTTGATCCTCACAATAACCCCATGATCATCCCCATTTTATAAATGCTAAAAATGAGTCTGTGGATTATTAGAAATAATCAAAATAAAATAGAACCAAAAGTAGTTAAAACCACACAGCAATGTGCTTTAGATTTAAAAAAAACCACATCTGATTGGAAACACTGAAGACTATAAAGATTGTCAAGGAAAATTAGACTTAATCAATCCAAAAATGGAAACCACAGTGACCTAAATAGCACATTGTGAATTTTATAAATAACTAACATTTGGTGGAAGAATAAAATATTCTTGCCAAAATTTACATCTGGAACAAATTGACCCAGAAAAATTGTACTGATAAATAAAACACAGTGGAACATTCACGGTGGGAGAAGAAAGCTTGGTAAAACTTGTTACGCAGAAAGGCTGATTGATAAATTGAATTTTTACTATAAAATTCAGAAGGAAGAGAATTTATTACAGTGAAAATAATTTTGGTAAGGTACAAAATAAATGCTGAAAAAGTTAGAAACACTTTAATTGTGCTCTATAGGACACTGAATATGGAATGATATTGGCTTAATGGGGTTTGCTCTGGAAGAATGAAAATGTTTACATATATATATCTTAGATAATGTTAGTATTTTTGGTAAATACATTTGAAACCATAAATTTGGGTTCCTTGGAGTCTAAATCATGGGATAAGAATTCTCTTTACTTGGCTGCTGTGGCCTGAGGAGGGAGGGGAGGCTCCTGGTACGGCTGGAGAAAGAGGGAGGCATCATTACGGCTGGAGGTCCTTTGAGGAGAAGAATCAAGGGAGGTGAGGGATTCCAGCATTAAGACATGGGGGAATTCCTCGAAAGAATGTATTTGCAAACCAGAGGCATGCATTTGGGTCACATTTACCCTAGTGTCCACTGCTCTCTGCTATTGGTATTCACCCCTATGCTGGCAGCTGCTGGAACCCAGAGACCTCCTCACACCTTGGCTGGGAATAAGGGCAAGTGTGTTCTTTCCAAATGAGAAGTGACAGTGGTGAAGAACATGCCTCTTCCAAATTTTCCACGTTGGGAAGGAACATTAGCTTCTCTAGGGGTGTGTCAGATGCCTGAAGGAGGCTCTGTGCTCCTGTGCTCCCTGAGGTCAGTGCAGAGCAAGTGGGATGTCAGAGCAGTGATGCTTCAAGTGGGTTATTGTCTGTCTGTGGACAAGGGGTAATTCAGAGTTTCTGGATGTATTCATAATGTCACCTTTACAATCAGATCTATTGCTCTTTCACATTTCATCTGCAAAAGAGCATTTAAAAATCTCCTACAGGTATCACAACTATTGCTAAAGTTTATGCCCTAGATACTTAATATATTATCATTAATTCAAGTATGAAAATTTTAAAAATAGCAAGCCTGCAACATTAGTTTTTAGTAGTGTTTATACATTACTTGAAATCATATAACAATTCTAAGTTCAAGTTGATAGCTTTTTTTATATAGTATCTATTTCAATTTTATATTTTGAATTTAAAGACTATTAAGAATGTCAAACTATCAAAGATCATGTATAAAATGTTATATAGGTATAGGAAATACACTTCTCTGAAGAAGCTACATATATAAAATTTGATACCTTTAAAAGATATTCATTAATTTAAGAAATTTGCCTGGATGTCTACTGCATAAGGCGCTGGGCTAGGTGCTACGGATATGAAGTTGAATAAGGCACAGCTCTGCTCTAGATGAGCTTACAAACTAGTAGTTTTTCAAGATACCATATAACAAGTGAGCTAGAAGTGATTTCTAGTGTAAAGAGGAGCGAATACGTTTTGCACTGAGCGTTAGTTTCATCGTCTTTGCGAAAGCTTCTTTCTTTTCATAATATGCAGCCTCATTTACAAACACCGGGTACACGGTACAGTCTCCGCCCAATGGAATAGTCTTTCCATCAAGAGTTAAAAACACGGGATCCTCAGGGTGCAATGGCTTCCAGTCTTGATCCTCTCAGGAAACAATTAAAATAAATAAATTACATTTGTTTTTTTCTCCTACTTTGAAAGTCTTATGTCAGATTCTAGACAACTAACAAATTATAGCATCCTATTCTTTTAAAAGAAATACTTGAAAGAGGCATAGAGGGGCATATAAGTTACCTGACTAAACTGAAATTGTGTAATGAATTTGGGCAGCAGTTTTAAGAGTTCCCCTTTTAATTTTTTTTTTCTTTTTTTTTTACTGACCGGTAACGGGATCGCAACCCTCAGTGTCGCGCCCGCACCCCGCTCAGCCAGCGAGTGGGAACCGGTCTCCACATGGGATCCGAACCCTCGGCGGGAGTGCCGCCGCACCGCGCTCCCAAGCGGTGCACTCTCCGGTGCGCCACTGGCCCGGCCCCCCTTTTAATTTTTTTTTTCTTTTTTTTTTACTGACCGGTAACGGGATCGCAGCCCTCAGTGTCGCGCCCGCACCCCGCTCAGCCAGCGAGTGGGAACCGGTCTCCACATGGGATCCGAACCCTCGGCGGGAGTGCCGCCGCACCGCGCTCCCAAGCGGTGCACTCTCCGGTGCGCCACTGGGCCGGCCCCCCTTTTAATTTTTTATAATTGATGCATGTAATTAAAGTTTGCCTCAATACCAGGTTTACTTCGAATGTTTTCAGAGAAATTTATAATATTAAATGGCAAAACTAAATGCATATCTACCTCTTGCCAGATGAAGTTAAATTCTGTTCAGCAAAATTTAGGAAATACCAGTTCAGAGCATTCTAGGTGCAAGATATTCTACTGCTGGGGGTATGACAATGAGTCACGATGTGCCTGCATACAAGGAAAATCTATTCTGATGGGGACTGGTGAGAGAAGGTGAAGGAGAGTTGGGAAAACGTCTAAGACAAGGTGGCTGTATCCCAAATGTGTCCCCACACTATGATAACAACTGAGTTATCCCGCACCAGGGATTTGGACCTAAGAGACTTCAAACCCCAGTGTTGTCACACCACAGGAACTCTAGAACAGACTTAATCTTCTCAAACTTGGATGTGCTTGCAGATCGTATGGGGATTTTGTTAAAATGAAGATTCTGATTAAAATGAAGATTCTGATTCTTATAGGTTCGGAATGGGGTCTGAGATTCTGCATTTTTAACATCTCCCAGCAACATCAGCATCACCTGGGAATTTGTTAGAAAAGCAGAATTTCATTCCCCACTGTGGACCTACTAAATCAAAATCTTCATGTTAAATTCCCAGACATTCACATGTACAACACTAAAGTTTGAGAAGTGCTGCACCACAGAAATTTTGTACATTACAGTCACCTGGGACGTTAAAATATGAGGGTACTTCAAAAAGTTCATGAAAAAATAGAATTAAAAGATACTACAAATCTTTCCATGAACTTTTTTTTTCTTTTTTAAAAATTCTATTACTCCTTATCTGTTTTTTATTCCATAATAAAACACCACAGGCATTTCAATGAAAGCTGATACAGACGTATGTCTAGAGCAGCTCTTGTCCTAAGATGGCTTTTCCCTGATTTCAGAGTGTATCGGGAGGTGTCCACCTACTCCATGAACTTTTGAAGTGCTGTGATACATATACATGGGTATCTCAGATAAGTCAAATCAGAATCTCAAGAGTGGGGCCCAGGTGTTATTATTTTTAAAATTTATTTAAAAATTTACAGACAGTAAAATTCACTCATTTTTGTGTACAGCTCTATGAGTTTTGACATATGAGTAGCATAGAATCATATAACCAGGAAATCAAGATACTTAATTTCATCACCCACCTCCGCCAGTCCCTCATGCTACCCATTTATAGGTCACTTTTTTTTTTCAAGCCCCAGGTGATTTTACAGGGCAGCCCAGTTGAGAACTGCTCTGGACCAGTGGTTTTCAGAGATGTGCCCCAGAACTACTGAAGGAACTTCTTCAACACACATGTGGCTAGCCTCACCTGCAGAGATTCCAATGTAGTGCAGTGCTAGCCCAACCCGAGCCACATGAAAATCACCTGGTAAACTCAACTGATTCTGTGTTTCCACCTCGATGAATGAAATCAGAATCTCTTGGGATGAGACCTGGGAATCAGGATTTTTAAATAGCTCCTCAGGTGATTCTCATGTGGCCTGGGTTGGAGAAGCAGTGCTTTAGAAGACTGTGATAGCTTCCAGGCATCTGGGGGGAAATACCCTAGGTAATTCCAATTAGCCTCCCTGATTAAGAACCATCGCTCTTAGAACAATATCTAGACTCGGAACCAGGTCCCTGCCTTCGTTGTTGGCTCTAGGGTCTACCATTCTCTCTGCTCACTCCTGTTCTCCACTGACACTGGTCTTTTTGCTGTTCTACAAACACTCCAAGTTTGTTCCAGCCTCAGGGTCTTTGCACTTGTTTTTCATGTGGCTGGCTTCTCACCCTCCAGGTGCCAGCTTAGTACCGCCACCTCAGAGATAGCTCTTTCTCACCACTTCATCTAATTGGATCCCTTTGTTACCTTCTATTATATTATTCTGTTTATTTCTTTTACAGCATTCATTACAGTTTGAAATGATCTGGCTTATGTATTGTCTACTCATTCATGGTCTGTTCTCTCCCCATTTGTATAGAAGTTCCATGAAGGACCTGGACTATTTTGAACCCCAGGGCCCAAAACAGGTTTAGTAGTCATTCAGAAATATGTATTGAAATAATTAACTGCTCAATCCCTCCTGTAGAATAATGAGCTATTCCTTATTGTCTATCAAATTAAAACTATCCTTCCTAACTTTCAAGACCTACCACTAACCCTGTTTGTTACGTCTCATTAATCTCACTTCTCAGCTTTCCAGGATTATTTTTGTACTCCTCAAGGATATCCTTGAGGAACCTGAACCCCCCAAATCCCAAATGTTTTAGCCTGTTATGACATCATCACCTTGGCCTCTTTCTCTTGTACTTGATATATTTACCACCTGTAGTGCTTTCCTTCTTTCTCTTCCCCAATCTTTATCTTTTCTTTACAACATTGCCTAAGGCTCCTTCTTCAGGTTTCTGCCTCTCCTTAAACCACAAAGCAGGGTTTGCTCCACTAGTCTGTATTTTGGGGCAGGCTACTTTATTAAGTTGCAAGTCTGGATGACTATTAGAATCATTATATAGGGATATGAACTGGGCTAGTGTTTTTCAACCCGGATTACCCATGCCAATAAAACCAGACTAGGTTAGAGTGGAGTCCCAGTATTGTTATTTTTGAAAAAGCTCTCTAGGTAATGTGTAGCCAGGGTTGAAAGCTCCAGATTAGATAATTAACCAGGTTTCTTCTATCTCTGAGGTTTAAGAATGTGTGGGGGACTCACAATGGGGAATGGATATTTTAGCTTTTAGGTATCTTTGCTCCTCCCTTCTTCGTCTTTTCCAGACTTAAGCCTCCTACACTCTCCCAAGTGCCTTTTCTTCCCCCTGCACTATGCTATTATTGATCAAACAGGCAAGAAGAGGATACCGGGGGTTCTGAAGAAAGTCAGGGAGTGGTGGCAGAAAACATTCCAAACAGAGATTCTGGTTGTTTTGCTTGGACTTATTCAACGGTGCTCACAGGGAGGTAGCAGCAATTGGTCAACTGCAAAGAACATTAGTTCTGGATCTGTCATTGGTGACTATGAGGCTATTGGGAGGATTGAACTTCTGAACCTGTTTTTAATTATTAAAATATAGACATAATAATTCCTACCCATTGTACTTGGGTAAGAATTTCACCTTCTCTGAGAGGACTTATCTGACCATCCCTCTCCCACCTCATTCTTCTGCTATGGCACCTGGTTATCTGCATTTCTAGACTATAGGTTAGACTCAGTATATCTAGACTATAAATTCCCTGAGAGTATAGACCATGCTCACTGATGTACTCCCAGAGCCAGCACAGTAATACTCAATAAGTATTTACTGAGCGAAGGTCTGAATATCCACCCTACGCTGCAGTGTTTTTGAGAACATCAAATGAACTAATGTATATAAAATGCTGTGTGAACTGTAAAGTTCTACTCAAAGGTAGAGCGTCATTATTTTCAGTATTTTAAAGAAACAGCAGATGTTACCTGCAGATTAGGATGGATAATAGCAGCAATTTCTCCACGTTCATTCCTGGGATAATCAACTTTCTCCATTATTTTATAGACCTCAATAGCACAGGGAGGAAATTCTTTTCCTGTGACAAAAACAAGACATATAAATAGTGACTAAAAAAAAAAAATCTCCTGAAAAAAGGCAAGTTGATACTTTAAGGAAGGAGGGAAGAAGAAAAACAAAAATGAAGACAGTTACAGGGAGAACTTCATAAACAACACTAAGCCAAAAGATGTTCTTAAATTATTCCTGTCAGCACACTGTTCACAAAATACAACCATAAACAGAGAAAGAAAACAGAACTTAAAAATCCAGTGTGGGACGGGGTCCTGAGATGGGGGCTGTGGGCCAGCTCTGACCCTGTCCCCCCCAAAACAACATTTTAGAATGTGCTTATTAGCCATGTGTGTTTCTTTGGGGTTTGTGACTTATCTGCTCATGCCCTTCATCACATTTCTGCTTAGATTTTCCTAATTCATTTTTAAGAGTTCTTTTTTTGCAGTAAGGATGTTAATCTCTGAGTGTTAAATTTGTTTCTTATTAATTGACTTTAAATCTAATTTGTGATGTTTTCCTTTGTTTCTATGTTGAGAAAATAATTTTCTATCTAAACGTTAAATAATAATAATAATAAAGACAGTGTGGGAGAAAAAGAGCCTAGAACTGGGAGCCAGAACCCTTGGGCTCTAATTTCCTAGCTATGTAATTTTGGGCAAGATGCTTAAATTCTACAGGCTTGCTTTCTTCACCTGTCATATGAAGGTTTTGGATTATCTTGGAAGGCCCTTCCAGCTCTGAATTCTGATTGTATATTTTCAGGAGGACTTCAATCTAGTGCATTAAACACTTGGAAAGCACCTGGACAGTGAAATCTTGGGATGCAGGCTGTCTACCAACAGTGGAGTCCAGCTTCTAAAGATGCAGCAACAGTAAACAACCTAATGCCCAAAAACTTGGAAAAGGAGTAGTTTACATATGTACAAAGCAAACTCTGAGTAAACAGCATGAACTTTTGTCCAATGTAGGGCCAATAGTGGGCTATGGTTGCAACTCGAGGGAAAATATTCCTTTGCCCTTAGAGCAAAGTTAGAATGGGTACCCTGAGATCGCTTCTGTACCAGTTAGCTTTTGCTGCACAACACAGTACCCTAGAACTTACTGGCTTAAAACAATAAACTTTTGATTTAGCTCATTATTCTGTGGGTGGTTGGGCAGTTCCTCTGGTCTGAGCTGGCTTCGCTGATTTCTGACTAACTTGCTCATGCATTTGTGGTGTGCTGGCATTCAACTGGAGGCTGGATGATCTGGGATGGCCTTGCTCTCATGTCTGGCATTTGACGGGTTATTGGCTAGAGCTGCATGACTGTTGGCTAGGATGTTTGAGTTTTCCATCTTAGAGCCTTTCATTACCCAGCAGACTATTATGGACTGATTACAAAATGGTGGTACAGGGTTCCAAAGAGGAGCAAGAAAGCAAGCCCCAATGTGCAAATCCTTGTTACGCCTCCTCTGTGGCACAAAAACAAGTCACATGGCCAAGCCATATTCAAGGGGCAGGGAAATAGACTCCATCTTTTAATAGAAGGATCTGAAACATCACACTGCAAGGACGTGGATGCAGAAAAGGAAAAATTCATGGCCATTTTTAGAATCTATCACACCTTCCAAGATGAAAATGGGAACTACCAGATGCCATTTCTTTAAACCAGGAGGTATCTTGGGAAGAAAGAAAAAACTGATTGAACAAAAAGGAGTATGTTTTTGCTACTTAGAATCTCAGAGTAGGAAGGAGCCTTGAAAGCCCAGCTTCCATCAATGCTTGAGGGTTCTCCATACTGATCCACCCATGTGGTCATCTTACTGCTGCATGAATGGCCTCACAAAGTGTGGCCCATTTCATCATTGCTCAGCTTTGTTAATTAGAAATTTCTGTCTCTAGGCAACTTTACCCCACTGATCCTATTTTGCCCACTGGGTCACAGAAAATATGTCTAATTTCTTTCCAGTACAACATTTCTGAAACTCTGAAATAAAATTGCCCTTATGCCTTCTTTCTGCCATTCTGAGTAGCCTAAGTTCTATTAATCACTAACCCATATGTGATCACATACATGAAGATGTATGTGAAGGTACTTTGTAAACTGAAGTTCTATGTGCGTCTTAGGGATTATTCTTATTATGGTTTTCAAACTCTTCAGTATTCTCAACTCTCTCCTTGGCTAAACTCCATTTTATGGATGTTCCTTCTGAATTGTGTACCCAGAATTTATTCACAGTTCTCAAGTGTTATTTATCTAAGACAGAAAAAAAGTCCATGACGTCCCTCATTCTGGAATTTCTTTAAAAGTAAGAACAAAACATTGTCCCTGATGCATTTAACCTTAAATATTTGGTTTAGACAATTGTTAGAGATTGTCAGGACTTTTTGGATCCACTTCCTCAACTGAGATATATTCCTGCTGTCTTCCTGCCATCTATCTCTCAGATAAACATATCACATATGTCCTTATCTAAATCACTAACAATTTTGAGTAGCACAGAGTCAAGGATGGAGCCCTTCTACACACTTCTAGATACTTTTCTCTAAGCATTTATGATTTTTTTTTTTGGTCAGCATTCTTTGGATACTGGTGCTCAGTTAAAAATACACTACCCTGGATAGTCTAAATTAACAGTGGTTTAAAAATTTTAAATTGCAGTATCTCTTGCTTAAATGAAATGTTACATAAAAGAGAAATAAAACAGAAAGGAAACTTCTCTGGTTGAAGCAGAGATGAGAGGCAGGGTGTTCTAGAGCTACTATTTCCCACCTCTTTGGCAGGACTCTATGGACCATGATTTGAAAACCACGCTTTTCACTCACGTTCATGGCCTTCTGCCTGGGTGCCTCATTTCATATACTGTAGTCCCACACTTAACTATTTAAAGGGTTTCTTGTGAATATGTTGTGACCTTGCCAACACCACTACCATTAGACAATATAGAACCTGCCCTCGGAAAAAGGAGATGAGAAGCTAATTTTCAGTTTTCATGACTTTGTGGTCAAAGAGTTCTCAAGCACAGAAGAAATCCCTGTGACTGCAGTAGGGTGCACAGTCTGAGGCTGAGGAATTCCACTCCCCACTGACACTGAACTTCACACCAGCCATCGCTATAAGGACCCATTCCTCAAAAACAATTTCAGCTCAGCCTGTTGGGATAGTTATTTACATAGGATGTCTGTTGATTTTAAGTAGGTTTTTTTTTTTTTTTACGATTTTAACGTAAACTTGAAAAAAATTAGTAGACTTTACTTTTTAGTACAGTTGCAGATTTACCAAATAAATGAGCTAGTACTTAGAGCTCCCTTTATTTCCCCTCCACCAGTCCCCATTTAATTAATTTTTAATTACAGAAATAATACATGAGTATATTATTCTTCTTGAACATAATTAAAACAAAATGAACCCAGTTTGTTCCTCTCCTCCTCGGTAATCACCATTAGGTGTGTTTTCTTCTAGAACTTTCCCTGTGATATGTTAATATATATGCGAGGCGTCTTTAAAATGCTCATGGAAAGATTTTTTATCTTTTAATTCCATTTTTCCACAATTTTTTTTCTTTTTTTGGCAACTGGCAGGTGCGGGATCCAAACCCTTGACTTAGTGTTACAACACTGTGCTCTAACCAACTGAGCTAACCAGCTAGCCCTCTGTGAACTTTTTGAAGTAACCATGTATAGTAATCATCATCTTCATCACCATCATTATTCATTGTTTTGAAGCAAATCAGTATACTGTATGTTTTGGTCTGCAACGTGATTTCTTTTCATTAACAGCATGTTTTGAAGATTCTTCCACATTAGTTTATTTAGCTGTTCACCAGCTGGTGGACATTTGCGTCATATCCATTGTTTTGCTGTTAGAAGCGATGGTGCAATAACCACCTGTATACAACGTGTTGGGAGTGCATGTGCTTGTATTTCTTTGAGATGTGGAATTGCTGGGTCATAAGATTTATGCATTTTAAGAAGAGAGTATTGTAAAATTACCCTCTAAAGTGTCTTTACCAATTTATATGTTCATCAGCAGGGAATGAGAGTAACCCCTTTTCCTACACAATTATCAACACCTAATATTATCACATTCTAATATTTTCCCAATCCAATAAGGGAAAATGGTGTCTTATTTTAATTTGCATTTCTCTGATTACTAGTGATGTTGAACATTTTTTCATATGTTTACCAACATTTGTATTTCTTAGTCTATCTTTGCTTTTTTTTTTTTCCTTTTTTGTCTTTTTTCATGACCGGCAACAGATCGCAACCCTCAGTGTCGCGCCCGTACCGGACCGGGACCGGCAACGGGATCGCAACCCTCGGTGTCGCGCGCCCGCACCTCGCTCAGCCAGTGAGCGGCCGGTCTGTATGTGGGATCCGAACCCTCGGCGGGAGCACCGCCGCACTCCCAAGCAGCGCACTGTAGCAGTGCGCCACGGGGCCGGCCCTATCTTTGCTTTTTAAAATGAAGATTATTATAAAAATAAGGATTTGACTTTGGGGGTTTTATCTGGCAGCCGCTTTTCTTCAATGCATCTATTCCAGTCATTGAGGAATAGCAGAAGTGAATAAAAATTTTAAAAAGCACTTGAGATCCTGAGCATGGCAAATTTGACCTGGGTTCTAGTTGCTATTTCAATGTTTAGTAGTAAAATTTTATATATTTTATCTTTATTACTTACCTTTATTGAAATAATGTATAAAATCAAGAGCATGTTTAATCATTTTTCTCATTTGATCCAAAATATCAGCTCTCAGAACCCCTTGAGACTGGGGACCAACTTCTATACCTAGGTACAGAGGGGAAATAGTCACATTTATATAAGTATTAGAATATATCATAAAAATGAGCACTTTAATAGATCAAGATCTAGAACTCCACCATTAAAATCTATTATAAAGGTAGATCACATAACATTATGGAAAATAATTGAGACATAATGCTAGACAAAAAATGAAGGAGAACATTTACATATTCAAGCTATATGCATAGTGAATAAATACTGAGAGAGAACATGGAAAAAAAATCAAAGAGTTGTGTTAGAGTATTAAGATCTCAGGGCTGTTTTTTCTTTAAATTTCCTTTAATCTTGTCTAAATATTTAAAAGTCATAACATTGTAAAAGGAGTAGACAAAGTTATGCTGACAAAATAACAGGTGACTACAAAGAGATCTAACATTCAGCTTTGACAGGAAGAAGGACACCTATTCAGTTATAGAAATCTAGGCCAGATGAACCATGGATTTAAATCAGCATGGCAATCTATGTGATCCTATGGCAACATCCTACAGCCCTTAACAGAACACCTTCCCTGACGTGATAGTGCAATGATTTTAATTTTCTGTAGAAAAAAAATTTGTATTCATTTTTTCTAATCCAATAAAACTATGTCTGTTCTACCAAATCTACTTCCCCAAGCATCCATCCTTACATCTACAAACTATTCTTTCTCTAAATCACTTATATATCCCTTCCCTTCTGCTCAAGTCTCCCACAAAATCATCCCTCCAATCATTACCTTTTCCATTTATCAAACCATTTACCAAGTACAATACCATCTGCTTCATTCTCTTCTATGCAATTCATGCACATTATTTTACAACTATGCTATTTTCACCCACCTCTGTACTTCCTCACTCATGAAATCTTAATATATTCTCTTTCATCTTCATTATTTATTTGTTATGCTTAGCTTTCTTGTATATATGTATGGACATATATTTTTAAGTATATGGTATCATAAGTGTGGCAGGTATGTACCTAGGCATAAATGATTTATACAAATGTGTAAAAAAGTGTGTTCATGAATATGTCTGTGTGTGTATTGTAGAAGACATTGTTGTTTGCCTACCCCAAATCCATTCCACCTTCCTGCTTTCTAAAAGAATCCTGATTTGGTTGAGTGTCCAGTCTTCAAGAAAGGTAAAATTTTCTACAGCTCAAGAGTAAATGTTGAATAGTTTAAATCAATCACAGTAATCCCATTACCCTAGTGATTGACTTAAGAATGGATGTATGACCCAGTTCTGACTAAGGGACCATAAACACAAAGTGTGTAGGGGAGTTCCTGAGAGTTCCCTTTCTTCCAGTAGATAGTGTCATGTTGGCATATGATGCTTGGAACTACAGTAGACATCTTGCAGCCATATGGGTAGCTAAAGACACACTGAAGATGGTAGGCCAGAAAGGTAAAAGAACCTAGTACCTCATGATGTTGTTGAACTAATATGTAAAATCATAAATTTATCTTATTGTTTAAGCTATTTGGAGTTACCTGCAGCCAAAAGCACTCTTTGAGGGGGATGGACAGTGTAGTGTGGGCAGTTCTATGTGGAGGGAGAGGAGTTATGGACTGATAGGAGTGGGTGCTTGACCCAGAAGATCCAGTTACTACACTTGATCTTAGCCAAAAGGACGAGAAGCGATGAAGAAGATCCAGTTACTGAAGTTTTGTTTTCTGATTGTGAGTGGAGGATAATAAGTAGGGTGGCCATATGAGGGATCTTCAAAAAGTTCATGGAAATAGGTATTATGAGAAAACTATGCATGAATTTCAAAATTTCTTTGCACTAAAAAAAGCCATACTAACTTGTTATAACATGTCTGAACAGGATCTAGTTTGAGCTACTAAGAAGGATAGGACATCAATTTAAAAAGAGCCCTGATAAGAACAACATAAATTCTGCTAAAATTGAAACAAGAACAAACACCAAATTTATGCTGAAGCTTGGGTGAAAGAATGGTGAAATCATTGATTCTTTACAAAAAGTTCATGTAAACAATGCCTCAAATAAGCCAGCAGTTTACAAATGGATAAATTGTTTTAAGAAAAGATGAGATGATGTTGAAGATGAAGCTCACAGCAGCAGACCATCCACAGCAATTTTCAAGGAAAAAAATTAATCTTGTTCATGCTTTAATTTAAAAGGAGCAACAATTAATAGCAGAAACAATAGCCAACACCATAGACATCTCAATTGCTTCAGCTTACACAATTCGGACTGAAAAATTATAGTTGAGTAAACTTTCCACTCAATGGGCGCCAAAACTGTTACACCCATATCAACTGTAGAAAAGCAGAGTTTTCAATGGAAATTTTAAACTAGTGGGATCAAGATTCTGAAACATGTCTTCAAGGAATTGTAACAGGAGATAAAACATGGCTTTACCATACCATCCTGAAGACAAAGCACAATCAAAGCAATGGCTACCAAGAGGTGAAATTGGACCAGTCAAAACAAAAGCAGACTGGTCAAGAGTAAAGGTTATGGCAACAGTGTTTTTTGGGATGCTCAAGGCATTCTGTTTGTTGACCTTCTGGAAGGCCAAAGAATGATAACATCTGCTTATTATGTGAATATTTTGAGAATATTAGCCAAAGCTTTAGCAGAAAAGTGTTTGGGAAAGCTTCCCCAGAGAATCCTTCTCCACCGTGGCAATGCTCCTGCTCATTCTTCTCATCAAACAAGGACAATTTTGTCAGAGTTTTGATGAGAAATCATTAGGCCTTCCCCTGCAGTCTTGATTTGGATTGTTTTGACTTCTTTTTGTTTCCTAATCTTTAAAAAATCTTTAAAGGGCACCAATTTTTTTTTTTCAGTTAATAATTAGAAAGACTGCATTGACATGGTTAAATTCCCAGGATGCTCAGTTCTTTAGGGATGGACTAAATGGCTTGTATTATCACTTACAAAAGTGTCTTGAACTTGATGGTTCTTATGATGAGAAATAAAGCTTATGGATTCTTATTTTTATTATTTTTATCTTTTATAATTCCATTTTCCACAAAGTTTTTGAAGTTCCCATGTATTTTCCAAACCAAAAATGAACTTTGACACAATATCTCATATCCAAGCAGAATATTTAAATTTGTAGGACATGGCCATGGCATGGTCAGGAGTGGAGCTGAAGGTGTAACAGTCATAATAATCACTTTTCTGAGTCTCATGAGACCATGGTCGATCTAGGAAAGTTATCAGAAGATTGTGTTCAGTCGCTCTTCTGTGTGTGTGTATGAATGATCATGAGGCTGGCTACAGCAAAGTGCTCCTTTGTGGGATAAAGTTTACCTAGAATGATCTTGTCACATTTCAGCTGCCTTTGTAATAGAATGCAAAGGTGGTTCTTGTAGGTGGCTAGTAGAAGTTAAAGCATATTTGTATGGGGCAATTGTCTTAGTTATATTATAAAATGTTGACTGGGGAAGAATGTCTCTTTGATTTTGATCTCAAGTGGTTTTTTTTTGTTTCTCAGTGAGTGGATGGTATAAAAGTATTCCAAATAAAATAGCAAAGTTGGAAGGAGAACATAAAATATTCCTAACTTTAAAAAATACACTTAATACTCTCTCATATTAAAATGTTTTAAAGGTTTGGCTTTATTTGTAAGGGCCAAACATATCAGCAGATATTTGGCTAAGAGCAGCATTGCCCATAAATATTATAGATCAAGATTGATCTTTCAAAGTTTGGAAGCCTTATGCTTTCACATGGTGTCACAGAGAGATGGGATTTCTATCTCTCATCATTAAGCCTTTGGTTTGTTTCAGTAAGTACCTATATTTGGATATTTAGCTTTCTCTAATGGATACCTTAATTATGCACCAAAAATATCAATATTTGAATAACCAGGATAATTTTTTATTTTCACTTGCTTATATTGTTTGCCAACTTGCTTTTTTTTTTTTTTTTTTTTTTTTTTTTTTTAGAGAGAAAAATGTGCAGTTCTCTTTTAAGACTAAACAAGGGAGAAAAGTTTTAATATGTCTTCCTCTATAGTTATGTTTCTGTGAAACCCTTTTCCTAACTCTCTTCAAAAAAATTAGTATTTCCTAAAATAAAAAAAAAAAGAAAAAGAAAAAAGAAAAACAGGTATATTCAAGGGTCCAATTTCTGGGTTGCATATAAAGAATGAGATAAAGTATAAAACTTTTAGTGTTAAATTTTATTTTATTATTTATTTATTTATTTTTGTCTTTTTTTGTGTCCGGCAATGGATGGCAACCCTCAGTGTCGTGCCCGCACTGGACCGGGACCGGCAACGGGATCGCAACACTCAGTGTCGCGCCCGCACCTCGCTCAGCCAGTGAGCGGGAACCGGTCTGTATGTGGGATCCGAACCCTCGGCGGGAGCACCACTGCGCTCCCAAGCGGCGCACTGTAGCAGTGCGCCACCGGGCCGGCCACCAACTTGCTTTTAAATTAAATTATTCTTGGTCAAACCATCTGAGAGTTAACAAAAAAGATTTTAATTGTGATAGCAATTTTGTTTGTAGTATAGTCTGGAAATAATTAATCATGCTAATAGGCCACTTAGGAAAGAGAATGGAATATAGGAAAAAGAGAATGTCTGTCTGAGAAGGTATACGAGAGTGTGCCTGCTGAAAGTTACCAGAAGGTATAGATGAATTCACAGCCCAATAATTGACAGGGAAAACAAGTGAATGGATAACAGTTTATGAGAGAGACTACTGCAAAGCAGGTGCTATGAGGGGTGCTGGGAGAAGATTCTCCATAGATCTTTTGCATTTCTATATGTCTTGGGAGCAAGACACTGACTACTTCTGCACCTGACTACTTTTGTTCCAAATTCTCTCTTCCAGGATGCTTGTATAGTGAATGGCCTTGGAAGATAGGGATGGTATCTTCCTTGGAGCAAAAGGCAAGCATACTTACGTCCCATAATAAAAAATTTAAGTTCCCTCAGCTCAGTGTTTTCTCTCTTAGAATGTAACACTGGCATGTATAGCTGTCATCTGGCCTATTCACATCACCCTGTGGGAACTGGGGCTCAGGGAATGGTGCAAAAATGCTGAAACTCTGCTACTACTACTGTTAATAGTAATCAATTCTTTGTCTGTTTCCCAGGAGTCTGTGTTTTCTACCAGCATCCACCAAACAGTGGCAGGCTAACCTGCTAGCTTGTAAGTAGAGTAAAATATCAGACCCTTTCCAGTTCTTGATAAAGTCAGGGCCAGAAAACAGCGTGGAGTAGATCACTGGGACCATATGCATTTTAGAGAAACAGATACCCACGGCCTGTGGAATCCAATCAAATCTGACCACTTGGGATAAGCTCATAAATGTACATGGTACCAAGTTAGATAACTTGTATCTTATATATGATCATAGTCATAGGAACTGTGTGGCAAAGAATGGATATGTTTGTATGGGTCTGTGTGGGATATGTGTGATTAAAACTGATTGATAAACATTTATAAGTTTGAATTGTTTACTCATTGGTAATTTCAGCTAATATTTATTAAATATACATTAGTATTATTCTCTTCAGAAGGGGGTAGGGAACAGAGACTGCTAAGATAAATGGAGAATACAGTGTAGCAGGGATGACATGTAACAAATCAGGGTTTTGAGGCCTTTTTACATGATATTCCTATTTCCTCAAAGTGTTATCTGGTGCAGCCCTCATCCTCAGATAACACTTCGAGGAAATTAATTAATTTTTAAATTATATTTTATAAAAGTGTTGCTCTGTAGCAGATTGGAAATAAACAATGGCCTTTCACCACAGATAATTTTGAAGCACTGCTCTAGAATACTGTTGACAGCTCCCAATTTTTCCCTTCTTTCCCTCAAACATACACATGCATTTTGTGCTTGGTCACTTCCTCCCTGCTCCTCAGATCTCAGTATAGATATCACTTTATTTGGGCCTTCTGTGACCCTTTAAGACTGGGTCAGGTACCTTTCCTCTGGGCTGCTGTCATCCTCTGTAATTACCCCTCCGTAGCATTTATTACTCTGTGCAGTGATTACCTGGCTACTTATCTGTCTTCTCATCGAATACTAAGCTCTTCGAGGGTAGACTGTATATCTCACTTGTTGATATAAGCCCAGTACCCAGCACAGTGTTGATCTCTAGTAAGCACACAATAAATGTCTTTTTTTTTTTTTTGTCTTTTTGTCTTTTTCTGTGTCTGGCAACGGATCGCAACCCTCAGTGTTGCCCCCTTACCGGACCGGGGACCGGCAACGGGTTGCAACCCTCGGTGTTGCTCCCGTGCCTCGCTCAGCCAGTGAGCGGGAACCGGTCTTATGTGGGATCCGAACCCTCGGGCGGGAGCGCCGCTGCGCTTCCCAAGCAGCGCACTTATCCAGTGCGCCACCGGGCCGGCCCCAATAAATGTCTTTTTAATGTACAAATTTTTGGAATAATTAATTCTGTGGAGTGTGGTTAGGAAAGGTTCCACAGGAGGTGGCATTTGAACTGAATCTTGAGGATGAGAATTCTTCCAGAGTAATTTGAAGGCCAAGTATTATATCAAAGGAAACAACATGAACAAAACCAGAAAGCTGCTCAATGAAATTGAGGAAATTTGATATAGTTAGAGCCTGCCTCAGGTTAATTTGCTTATTGCTTGACTATTATAAGTAAAAACAATTTTTTCAGAGTTTCTGCTGGTACATTTTATTCAGTTATGGCAATAAGAAATATGACTTACCAACAGGATGTTTGGCTATAGAACGACTGGTTGCATATTTGAGGGAAGGATGCTCAATAAGATAAACATAGCACGGTAATGGAGCCAAAGAAGCCTGAAAGAATTTAAAACATCTTTCTTACTATGTAAAGACCATATGTTTTGTTCTCTGTGTTGCTACAGTGTCAATAATGCCTTCAATATGTTTTACTTCTCCAACTAAGATTACTAAAACAGCTTTATTACACAGTCTAAAACCCAATATATAATATTATTATAGCTTTGAAAACATACAAATGAATTCCATAGAAAATTGAATTACACATAGCTTTCTGGGTAAAGTGTACATTAAACAATTCTCCAGGACCATGATCAAAGAATATAAAATACCTTTTTCTTCTGAATGAATTTAAGTATTTTTGTTCTTATCACTGGTTACACTTAATATTTAGCTTAGTATCAGTCTATTAAAGAATTCTGTTTCTACAGCCCTGTGGTCCAGGTCTCTACAGATGTTAGGTGATTCCCTCTCCTTCCTCTTTTCTGAATGAGAATTTGAGACAGGCCTCTTGGTTTTGATAACTGAATATCAGCCATGCTGCTTCTGTACCTGGCAGTCACTTCTCTTCAATGAGCAATAAAGAAGAGCTGCAGTATGACCCTCTGTCAGAATCACTATCTAGTTATTGTCAAAAACTCAAGGGAAACAAAAGTAATAATTAACCTTTACTATCTGCTAAGTGTTATGCTAAATGCTTTAAGTACTTTATCTCATTTAAGGCTTTTAGTAGCCATATGGGGTAGTGTTATTATTATGTTAATTTGATAAAATGAGGAAAGCAAGGTTTTGGGAGTTGAGTATCTTGTCTAAGGTTAGTGAATGAGAAATCCAGATTTGAACCTAGGTTCTCCTGGCCACCTCGGTCAAACTCTTCTTACTAACTCAGACTAGCCCTCAAGAAGAAAGGCTTTCCATTAAACAGAAATAAGCATACAATTCATTATTTGTGTTTTCGCTTAGTTGTTATTTTCTAGCAATTTTTCTCTAGCTATAGGCACTGGATTGCTGAATTTTTCATCTTGTAGCTTTCTGAGCTTTAAAATGTTTAGCTATATGATGTACTGTAAGATAGAATGTGTGTTGGGGTATCTGAATCAAGTGGGGAAGAGGGCAGGATTAAAGGCAGCAAATCTTTTTTTTTAATCATTGGACTTTAGTCAACATTAAATGACTATTTCTTCCTAAACCCTGTAATTGAGATACTAAAACCATACCATTTAAATTTTTGATATTAATTTTACTTGTTTTTGCCAAATAACCCACAATTTGGTGTCTGTCTGGATAAAATCTGTAATTTTGTACACACAAGAATCTACAAGTGCTTTATTATTTTACTCATTGTATTTATCATTTTACTTATTTCCTTTCCTTTTCTTCTGCCTGTCACCACTGCCTTTGTATTCTGGTACTGCTCTACCCCAATGCCCCAAGACTGGCTGTCAAATACTCGTAGATTCCATTTCTCTTGGACCCTCCCTCCTTTCCCTTTTCTGTTTGTTTCACATCTATAATTGACTTAAAAGTACAGGTCCTGTGCTAACTTACAAATTAATAACATTGACATTACCTTAATATAATGAAACATCTGAATTAAAAAGTCATTCCTGGAATCTTCAAGAATAAGAGTGCACCCCATTTTAGAAGTAGTGTTGTGAAGGTCAAAAATAATGTCATAGGAATCTTCACTATCTTTTGGACCAAATAAATGATTTATTTCTTGAGCCCTTCTCACTTCATATGGCAAATCCTCTGACATTTTTTTGCTGTTATTAGCAGAAAGAAAAAGATAAACAACATCTGTGGCTAAGATAACATAAATATACAGTAAGAACACAGTGTGCGAAGAACCAGTTGTCAAACCTTTAATATGAAAAATCTGTGAAGGAAGTGGAAACATATCTGGAACCTTTATAAATGAAAAATTACATTTTTCCTCCATTTGATTCCATATAACTAATGTTACCTTGGTATGCTTGCAAAATAACACCTCATTTATATGGCTGGTCACAGATAGGGCATTTCAAACAGAATTTGTCATTCGACTTCCACTTTGAACAAAATTTATTAATTAATTTAATAAACAGTCTCCAGTAGTGATGGTGCACTGGATTGTTTATTATGGGGCTAGACCATCAAATGCAGCCCCCCTGTCCCCACCCCCTGCCTCTATAGCTAATTCTAGAGCACAAAAATAGCCAAATTTAGGTTCTCACAAAATCCAATTGGGAATTCTTAACTGAGGTCCAGGAGCCACTAGTGGTCCAGGTAGAAGGTTTACAGGCTCTTGTCTGTAAACGTTGTCCCTGGACACTTTGAGTTCTCTTGTCTGCAAACTCTCCAAGAATGCAAAATTTTGCAGGTACATGCATATATGTATTTTTCTGGGATGAAAATTACTAGTTTTTATTATATTCTTGAATGGGTCTCTGTCTGTCCTCTTCCCACCAAAGGTTAGGATGCATTTTTTTCTTGCTGTACATAATGGTTTAACTTTATTTTTCCTCATTAAACCACTCAACCACATTTTCCTATAATTCTATCTATTTCTATTTCCTGGATATTTTTGCTAGTATCTTCAAGGGACCTATTGTTTGCACCTTAGTAATTCCTGCCTGGAATGCAGTCAAGAAGGTGGAGTATCCATTTTGCAACTATGAGACAAAAATGGTAAGGACAAATCTGCCTGCTGTGAATAGTGCAGGGGTAAGGCAGAAGGAGCCTGTGCTGTTGATGACATCATAGAGCCACTGCACCAGCCCTGGTCTGCCTACAAGAAACCCTTATTTGTTTAAGCCATTATTCTCAGGTTTCTATTATGCAACCAAACACAACTCCTAATGGATATACATACAATCAGCCCTTCATATTGTGGGTTTCACATCCCTGAATTCAACCAACTGTGGAGCAAAAATATGCAGAAAAAAAATTGTGCCTGTACTGAACATGTACAGATTCTTTTCCTTGTCATTTTCCCCTAAACAATACAGTATAACAACTATTTACACAGCATTTATATTGTATTAGGTAGTATAAGTAGTCTAGAGATGATTTAAATTATATGGGAGGATGTACACAGGTTATATAAATACTATGCATTTTATATCAGCAACTTGAATATCCACAGAGTTTGGTATCCCAGGGAGGTCCTGGGATAGGAAGTGGCAATTCCCTGCAGGTACTGAGGGATGGCTATATACATATTTTAAAAGTTAATTCCTGAAATATTCCATGAGGTTGCCCTCAACCTATTTGCTCATACAACATTCTACCCCATTTGAATGAATGGTACCACTACCCTTCTGGTTGCTTAGAGTCAAGGCTTGAAGTTTTAAAAGATAATGGACACTTTGAGTTCTCATGCTTGGAGTCCAAGTCCCATTAGAAGAGCCCCAAGGTATGAGGCTGAAATATAGGCAAGGGCAAGATCTTGAAAGGCATTATTGGCTATACTAAGTTGCTCAGATCTATTCTAAATAGGAGATTTGAAAGAATTTTTAGCAGGGGAGAGACATGATAAGATTTGCATGTTAGCATGATCCCTATGGCTACCATATGGAGAAAGGATGGCAGGAAGGATTGGAGTAAGGCTGGGTGCAGAGAGATACTTTAGGAGGCTATTTAACTGTCCACAGAACAAATAAACTATAGTGAAAATGGAGAGGAATACTGGATTTGTGAAGTACTGTACTTGCAAGGAATAACTGGGAAGACTTAATGACCCACTAGACGTAGGGTACAAAGAACTAAGAAGGTTCTGAGATGTTTTCCATAGGGGATTTGGTGGGTAATGGTGCCATCACTGAGAAGAGAATTACAGAAAAGGAACAGATTTGGGAGAGGGAGGAGAGAAGAAGTTAATTAGTTACCTGCCTCATAATTTTCATAACAACCCTTAGAGAGAACTGCCTAGTGTCTAAATAGTGTGAAGGGTAAGAAGCAGAAAGTGAATTTAATTTAAAAGCTATGCTCCCATGGAAATGCATACTATTGGGTGGTCATAATAAGAAAAGTCACCACAGTCCATTTCTGAGTTATTTGGGAAGCTAATATGCTGACTAAAATTCAATAAATTCTTACTTGTAATATAAGAGTTAATTGCTATTTTAGGCTAATAGATAAACATTAATTGTGTTGACATAATCTCAGTCATGAAGATAAGGCATTTCTGAAATTAAAATTTATTCTAGTAAAAATATGATTTGATACACAAAGTATGACTACTGTGTAATTGCCTGGGAAACTATCTATTCTGTAGTGAGGCATGTTTGTAGTCAGATCCGTTTTTGGATCTGCAGTGAGAGTAAACCAAAGGAATTCTCTAAGCTTGAATTAGCATTTATCAGAGAACAAGAACATAAAGCAATGCAGTTAGTTCCTCCTGTGGGTATCTTATATGTTAGCTAGTAGTCTACCAACTCCTTGAGGGTAAGAAACCATCTCATACAGAGCTTTGTACTTCCATAGTACCTGGCACAGTGCTCTAAAAATAGGTGTTTAATAATATTTTCAGGTAAATGAAAAAAGGAAGTGGCAAAAAGCAAATCCTTAGAGGCTTATATATCTACAATGTTGGCTACTATAATATAAACAAATTAATAAAGACCTACCTAGAGAATTATGATTGCATACATTGTATGCAATGTATTCCAAATCAGCTGTAATTTAAAAATTTAAATTCAGAAAATTCAGGTGAAGTGTCTTTATCTGTCATTATCCTCATCTATGGCAATCCACCACTGAAGGTAAGTACATCGGTTCCTCAGATCACAGAGAGGTCTAATGTTTACAGGTGATGGGCATTTATTCAACAAATATTAATTGCATTCAACAAATATTAATTGAAACATCACATTTTTCTTAACTAGAACTTTATGTATTACCATAAACATAGCTGCATGAAAACAGTGAATTACCTAGAAATCTAACAAATATGTAAGCAAACATAGTTCCCAAACACTAATGTAATGCAAAGGATTATTAGATCTGCTTCTATAAAGATATGCTGTAAAAATAAAAACCTTTCTTATTTATTGTCTCAGTCTGTATAGAATACCTTTAAAAAGAGAAATCAGTTAAGAATAGTCTGGAGCGTAAAAAAGTTTATAAAAGAGCATATGAATGCCCAGTTTAGGTAACTGTGAAATTCACAATTTAAGCTTTTAAGCAGTATGCTTAAAAGTGAAAGTGATCTTATTCACTACAGTGACTAAGAGTATGAACATGAATATTTATCGTATACATACATATATGTGTTCTCTCTCAACATCTACCACTTTTCACACAAATACATTCGCACACAATATAAAACATAGTCTTACCCAAGATTTTCAAGGTCAAAAACACGATTCAAGTCACAGTCAATGTATCTTGTACACTTCTTCACTGCTCTTGGGTTGGTAATAAATGGTTTTACTTCCAGCCCTGTTCTCTGAATCTCAGCGCCATTCTCTAGCCAGTGCTTAACTAGAAATACTCCTGTTAACTCATTCCCATGAGTTCCTCCAAAGATAGCAACCTTTTTTATAGGTTCTTCAGCAACGTGACAAGAAGTCATTTTGCCAAGTAGTTTTATCTGATTTCTGCAATTTAGAAGAAAGGAGATCAAAGAAAACTAAATTTCTTAAGAAAAGTTTAGAAATTTAAATCTAAATGACACTTTAACCAAAGTGCAAAGTACAGAGTTCTCTTCAGTGGAGTATATTTTAATTTTCTGTTACAAGTTCTGAGCCCTGTTTATTATACGGACACTCCCTTCTTTAGCCCTGCCCTTTACCATATTTGGATTAAAACATGCAAAGATCAACTAGAGATACAGCTGTTTACTTTAACTTCTAACTCCCTCAGATGGTCAGTAGATCTAAATACAATAAAAAATCATCATCTCATACTAATTCAAAAATTCTGTTTTCCTTTCAGATAGATTGTCATCTAAAGGTGCTTTTATGATGTTTGTAATAATAAAAGTAGTTTATACAATTCTAATCCTCCAAAATATAAAAAATAAGTGTCCCTTAATATGCATGTTATTATTCAATATTTATATTTCCACTGGCATTCAAAAACATTTTTTCTCTGAAATGATTTCAAGCAGTTTTTATGATCTGAGGGCATTTGAACCTCATCTCTGTAAAACAGATAAAAAGGCAGATCCTCAGAGACCTCCCTCTTCTTGAACCAGCACCCTTTCTTTCAGAATGCTTTCTCATAGTCAGACATAAGCACCAAAATCAATGATTCCTGGGACTTAAAAAGCTACTATGAAATATCCTTTGATTTTTTTCTCATGGAGTTTTTGGTAATTCTGTGTCAACTGCCTTAGGAATCTTCCTCTCTCTCTCTCTCTTTTTTTTTTCCCCTTAATACTAAATGAAAAGCAACTGTTAGCAATTTTTGAGTCTTTGTAATGCCTGAAAATGTCTTGGGACACACTGTATATTCTAACCACTTCATATGCAATTACACTTCATATAAGTTTAGCTTACCGGCAGCAGAGACTCTCTATTGGAAATTGCTATTCAAAAGGGGGGGTCTCAATAGGGGAAACCATCCAGGATACTAACATGATTGCATCCCTTTGGAGAAACGACTCTGAGCCAAATCTGATTTGATTTCATGCTTGATCTCCCAGAAAGTCAAATATGTCAGATTGTTTTATAGTGCTACAACAGCAGTAATTCATTACAATTGAAGACTAGTTTCATTTATAATGTTCTCCGTATGTTAGCTCAGGTTATTCATACATCTACTTTGTAAGATAGGGTGGGTAAGGTATTGACAACCCTTTGTCAGGGATAAAGGAAAGAGAGGTTAAGTAACCTGATTAAGGTTCCATAGCTACCTAGGAGAAAACTAGACCTGGAACCCATGTTTCTGATTGTAAATCCAGTGTTTTTCATAGGACAGTAGGGTGCCTCTCTTATTTTTGGTCTTCTCTAAAGTTCTAACTTTGCTTTTTCAGAATTCATGTAAACAACCACTACAGTGTGCTCAGAAGATAAATAGGCATACAAACAAAATACATGATGGAAATACAAAGTATGAATGCTTCATAAAATTTAATAAACTAATTCCGATATACTTCTTTTAAGAAATTATAATGAAGAAATAAGAAAGCAAAATAACAAAATCTAAATTCACATCTTAAAATTACTGTTCTAATCTAAGAAAAAGCCCCTTTAGCCTTTAATTTCCTACCCACGTCAATGTATACCAAACACTTGAGACAGTGTAGAGATGATAAAAACACACATAAATGTAAATAGATGATAGTTGTGTTGTTTCATTTATTTGGTTTTAACAATGGTAACTATGGTGAATTATTAACACTCGACTATGTTTTGTTTCTTTTCTGCTGATTTGTAGTTTGTTCTGTCCTTTGCCCTAGTCTCTCTGGAAATGCTGCTTCAGTTATTTGCTTGTAGCTGGCACGAATGACTTGCACTTTGAGGCTTGTTTTATGGAATTTTAACAGATCAGCACTTTGAAGCACAGTTCTCATTTATAAATAAAATTTCTTTTACATGTCAAAATAAATAATTTTCTTGAGAGTTAATGAATTGCAGTAATTGTTTCATACTTACCTTGTTTATTGCATACAGAGCTTGTCTTCTGTGGAATGCTTTATTAGAAAAAAAGGAGAGCAACAGAGGCTTTTCATACCCTTATACCAAGTTAACTTCCAAAAGACTTTTAACTCCCTGTTTCCCAAAGCACAGTTGACTTTTCGGCCCCATAAAAACAATAATTTTTATTAGTCTAGTTCTATTTTGAGAGTTCAGAGAACCGATCGTAAACAAAGTAAAACCTTTTGTGGTTGTTCCTATCTCACTATCAGGTTGAATATTTAATGTTTTGAAGTACTTAAAAGGGTAAGGCTAATAAATTCCAGTACTATAAATGTTTTGTGGGGATGAAGGTGCCTGATTTATTAACAAAATGACATGGTTTACAATAAATGGAGAGCAAAATTTTACTTCATAGTTATGGCCGTCCAACAGATGTATGCTGGAAATTTTGTAGAAGACAAAAATAAGGTAGGGTTGCTACCCAAATAGTATGATTGGAGAATAAAGAGGATCTTCTTTCTAATAATATGCATAAAGTGTCTTGAACATAATGTGGTTGTCCAGCAGTCATCCAATCAAACTATTCTCACTACTTTAATTTTCCCCTTCCCCCATGGCCCAACTTTCCAGATGGAAATAAAGAAATGATAACCAGAACAAGAAAAAGGTGGAATAGATAAGATTATAAACTACTAGCAAAGATTCCATATTGCTCTTGCCTGCATTCCTTACAGATGTACCACAGGACACTGCTCATAGTGGGCTTAAAGTTATTTATTGTTGTTTTTTATGAGAAATCTATTTTTTGAGGTTGGGTGGGTGTTGTATACCTATCTATGTATATATCAGGTCAAAATCTTCCCTGAAGCTTCAATTTATTTTGTAGGTAAGTCTCATCTCCCAAACCATGATGAATAACAAGTCTTTACACACATTTTATTGTTTGAAGTCTTCTTTCGAAATTAAAAGATGACCCTATTCCTTCAAAGCGTATTCCTTATCCTGGCATTCAGGGTCTGCTATTATCTGGTCTCAATCTACCTCTAATCCTCTAATCTTATCTCCTAACATTCTTCTTTATTTGACTTAATCATCAAATAAACTACTAATATGTTTTACTATCTCGTAGTCTTAAGCCTTTACTAACAACCTTCTCTCCATCTCAGAGACCTCTCCACCTTTTCCCTTCACCTATATCTCAGCCTTCAACTGGCATGAAGTTGTGGTAACAATAAAAGGTGGTCTTTGAACTCAGACAGAAGTAGAATTATAATACCCAAAGTAAGTGCCCAATAAATCACAGCTACTGTTATTAAATAAGGGCTAACACTTATTGAGCCCTTATTGCGGGCCATGATTGTTCACTTTCTCTTTCAGTATTTTTAAGGCAATTGAATAAATATTGTTATTGCCATTTTTAGGAGGAAGGAAATGTAAGTCTAGAGGGGGTAAGTAGCTTGCCCAAGGTCACAGGGCCAGGAATCTACAGTCTACCCAGCAGGAAGCCTGGATCTCAAAGCTCGGGAGGGTCGTTGCACCTTTCTGCCTGTGGTGCAGAATGTCTCCGGGCTCATGTGCTCTTTCCCTCCCCTGAGCTCCCACAGCCCTGGCCCTGCCTTCCTGACTGTTCTCTGCCTTGCATGGCTGTCATCTAAACCCAGGCCTCGGCTCTCTCACAAGCCTCCTGGAGACTCTAATTCCCTGACTGATGGATCCGACTCAGAAATTCAGCCAGCTCAAACGACATCTATGACTTGGTTTTGTGGCTTTCGAGTCATTCTCTGGGAACACTCCACGTTGCCACCAGCATTTTACAAACTGATGTCTAGAACCTAAGAAATGGCAATCGGGTGTGCTGAGTAAGTAGGGCGCACAAATTTCTGCCGAAGCTGGGGCAGAGGCTGGCTGGACAGGGGATCTGCCACTGCCCCCCTCCGGTGACCAGGACAGGCTCCTTCCCTCTCTGGGCAAAACTCAACAGAGACAGAGCCGTCCCTGTGCCTTGCGCTCACAGTGTGAGACCGCAAGGAGCGGAGCGTTAAAATCATCGTTCCTGGCTGAGAGAGGTAAGGAACAAGCGACTACCCCACTGCACCCACACGCCGTCTGGCCTCTGCGCCTGCGCCATCAGCGGCGCGGGTCGGGGTGCGCCTGCGCGGGTTTGACGTGCGCCTGCGCACAGCCTGACTTCCCGCACTTTTTCCGGAGGCAGAAAGGTCGGTTGGCGACGGTTGACTGAGGCGAGGGAAACTGAGGGCTAAAGTTGTGCGTCGTGTTGGTAGGAGGGCCGGGAAGGGAAAGAGCGTGCGTTGACCCTAGTTATCAAGCTACCCCCAATCCCTGGTGGGTCAGGAGAGGTTATTGGAAGAGAACATGATCCCCAACTGGAGCTTCACTCCCCGGCCCTGCACGAGGGGCCAAAATAGGCCTTCTTGGCCTCCATTAGAGGAGGCAGTTTTGGGGGGCTCTTTTTGGGGTTTTCTAATGCCACCTGGGTCTAACTGGAAAGCTGGGGTGGGAGGTAACTCAGGGTCCGTTCCCTCAGGGCCAGTGGTCTGGGAGGGGGCGGGAGATGCCGCAGTTAAAAAAAAAATTATTCTGTTTGCATGATACTCAGAAACGTAGTAGCCCTTGTAATCCCCCCTAGGTTTAAGATGTGAGTCGCGTTGGTATTTCTGTGTTGAGAAAAAGTGGCATAGCCTCTGTTTTGGTTCCAGGAATGGCACCAAGCATATTTCTAAAGGGCTTAAGAAATCCAGCTTCAAGCCCAAGATTTGGAAACAAAGTAGAGGCAATGCCATGTTTCCCAGTTTATTTTTACAAGTGATGATTAGAAATTAATATTTACCTCAGCCTGATTTACGTTATTACTTAGTAGTATTCTTGTCTGTCTGTCTCACTGGGTAGTGAATTTGGAGCAGAAATTATCTTATTTAGGTTTGTATCTTACCTTTTCATGCAATGGGCGAGTGTTTGTTGAATTAAATTGGGATTGAAATATATTAGGAGGCTAAACATGGAAAAATTACAACAGAAATTCTGTTGTGAAAGAAAAAAACAAAGAAAAAACTAGTTTTGCTTGTTGAAGTTGTAGAAACTGAGTGGAAACTTGTCATAATTATTCTGGATATTAAGTGAGTACTTAGTCTTTGGTATTATTTAACTGCACAGTGCCTTAAAGTGGGACACAGCGTGTTCTCACATGGCTAGTTCAATAGAGTATGTTTCTTCCCTGGACTTGTCTACGTATGTTTTCCAATGCTGTGGTCCATTTTCCTCTTTATACATCTGGTTCAGAAGTGTTCTCAGTGTGTGTCCTTCATTCTGAAATAAATTACATAGACTGAAAATTCACTTACATTTAGAAGCAAGGTTATAGTTGCCCTAATCATAACTTATTTTGAAGAGAGTTGGAAAAACAGGTTATGTTGTAAAGTTTGCTCAGAAAGCAAAGGACTCTAAAGTGGTTATTTACATAATCAGGTCTGAAAGTAGTTTTAAACCATTTTGGTAATTACTAGGCTGAGAATTTGATTTTGTTGTTGATACAATATGTTGCAAATTTCTTTCTTTGAAGGTTTAATCAAACAACTTCATATTGTAAATTTGGAACGCTAAAGGAAAAATTATAGACGTCGATATTGAAGGAAATGAAGAGAAACCTAAGTGAAAATTCAACTCGGAGTACAGCAGGTATTGAACAACGTTATTTTAGAATTATCTTTATTTTGAATATGCCATATAAAGCTCATATAGTTTAAAGATGGACCATTTTGGAAGAAACTTTTAAAAAGGTTGAACATTTAGTCTAGGTCCAAGGAAGTGAAATAACTTACTCAAGGCAAAAAATTTATTGGCAGAGGTGGAAGTAAAATCACACTTTCCTAAATTTACTCTGATATTCTTTCTAGAAATCCTATGTGCTTGAGTTGTTCTGTGCTTTTAAGCTGAAAATAAACAGATCTGTTTGTGTTTGTTACCTGTCTCTCTAACAGTTTTTTTTTTTTTTTTTTTACCATTTCTGCTTTCCTAATTCATTAGTATAAGGACAGAGGACAAGAGTGATAAGAACCGGGGGGAATGATGATGATTGTACGATGAATATAATACTAACTATTATTTATGGTGGATGTACTGTGTTCCAGACATTTAATTATATATATTAATTCCTTTAATCCTTACATCAACCCTGTGAGGTAGGTTATTATTTTCATCCATTTTCCAGATGAGAAATCAAGGCACAAAGAGATTAAGTAATCTATGAAGTGGCAGAACTAGGATTTGAACCTAGGAATCTGGCTGTGCAGTCCATGCTCTTAATTATGTTATCCTGCCTCTCTTTCAGTATATGTCATATTGGCCCAAAGAGTTTAAGGAAGTTGCCCAAATTTATACTCTGAAGTTGTAATTCAAACCTACTTTGAAGTCATAATTCAAAACCAGGCAGTCTGGATGGACTCCAGAGCCCACGTACTTCTCCCAGGCTTTCATCAGAGTTTTCACAGAGTCTGTGCTCTCCTTTAGTACAAGTAATGAAGGACCAGCCAGAGAATGGTGTAGTGGCAAGAGATCTGAATTGAGATTTAGGAAGCTTGGGTCTTATCTAGGTTCTTCCACTGACTTGCTATATAGCAGTGGGCAAGCTTTTTGTAACTCTTCTTCCTCTCAGTTCCCTTCTAAGTTTTAAAGTTTATACATTATGACTTTTGGCCTGCCGTGAAATCCTAGATCTGCCAATTCTAGATCTCCAATTCTAGAGGATTTAGAGGTAGTATTTCTTCTCATTGGGATTGAATATTATCACTCTCTAAGGCATTTAAAAAATGATCCACAGAGTATATTATTACAGACACCTGGGGTGCTTGTTAAAATTGCAGACTTTAGGGTTCCAGGCCAAATATATTGAAATAAAATCTATGCGAGTAGGATCTAGGAACCCGTACATTAAAAAATGCCAGACAAATCTTAATCAGACTAAACTTTGAGGACAATGGCCCTAACTGGTGTGTTACTACCTACAGTCCAAAGAGTGGTTAGTGTTTGGAAAGCATACTTCAAAGTTTTGTTCTTCCTCACCTCTATTGTACTTCGAAGGTCTCCCCCAGTACATATGGTAATAAGCAAGCACAGAAAGGACATAAGGAAAGTAAAAAGTGGATTTGGAAAGGGTTGGGGAATGATGGGGAGGAGATGGGAATTTCTTCTAAACAAGGGAAATTAAAGCAGTGTTAAAGTAGAATAAGATAGGACTTTTAGACAAATGAGGCTATTCAGGATCTTAAAGGGAATGTAAAAATCAGTCCAAGGATGTAGAAATATACCTATAATAATTGTATTAACTTATAGAAGTAAACATTCAAATTGTGTATTATATCCTAGTAATTATTCTATAACTACATCTGCTTGTTTGCCTCTTCTGTACTAATTTATTGGTACATTCAATTTAGGCTGTTTGCCTGTACCATTGTTCAATCAGAAAAAGAGGAACCGACAGCCATTAACTTCTAATCCACTTAAAAATGATCCAGGTATCAGTACTGCTTCTGACAGTTATGATTTCCCTCCTCTACCAACAGGTAAGAAAACGAGTAAAGTGAAAATTTTCAGGAAATAAGCACTAGGATTATAGAAAATTACCACTTCAATTTTATTATTATGAAAATGGAAAGTTTATTTTTTTCTTTTTTCCACTATCCAAATATAGAGATTACTTGGCTCTTTCTAAACATTCCAGTTTAGGAGTTTGAGTTTCCTTGTCAACAAGGGTGGCTTAGCATTTAAATGGAGTGTCTTAGATCTGGAGCTTTTGTTCTAATGAAGTAAACCTACATTATAAGATTTTTTCTTTTTTTTCTTTTTAAAAACACATATGGAGATTGTGACATATACATTAGGTGGTAAAGAACAGAAAAACCTGAGTTGCCCCAGGAACAATGATGAGTGTGCATGGAAACACAGGAAAAAACAGAAAAAAGAAAATAGACTTTAGAACGCAGAAGCCCAGAAATTTCTGGTGTTTGGCCCTATTCCTTTTCCTTCTCTTACGGCATTTTTGCCTTTCTTCATTTGTTGGCTTTTTACTCTCTGCTGTGGTCTGAATATGTCCCCTCCCCATTCATATGTTGAAACATAATCACCATTGTGATAGCATTAAGATGTGGTGGCCTTTAGGGAGTGATTAATTTATGAATGGCATTAGTGACTTTATAAAAGAGGTGCGAGGTAGCTGTTTGCTCCTTTCCGTTGTGTGAACACATAGGAAGAGGCACTATCTGTGAAGCAGAGAATGAGCCCTCCCTAGACACTGAATCTGTTGGCTCCTTGATTTTATACTTCCTGGCCTCCAGAACTGTGAGAAATAAATTTCTATTATTTATAAATTACCCAGTATAAGGTACTTTGGTATAGCAGCCCAAATGGACTAAGATACTCTCTTATCCAGTTGGCTTCTTTATAGTTCAGCACATGAACTAAGTTGCCCTTGCTGGGAGTTTCCATAACCTTTTAGTTTTAGTTCTCAGAGATCATTAGTAGACTGTTCTTTGTATCTCTTGATTCAAATTGAAGAGACAGAGTGCCTCTTGTTCAGCTCATCTTTTAACTGAGGCGACTAAAATACTCGCTTTATGGTTAGGACTCTCACTTCTGAAGCTGCTAGCTGTGGTGGTGAGTGCTGGGAGGTCTTAATGTTTGCTAACTTTCAACTTCCCTCTGCAAGAAGGCATGGGCAGGCAGACATTCTGAAATATACTTGGTATATGCTGGTTATACACATTTTCATTTTAGGGGCACACTTAAAATCATTAATAAGATCTTATTAGAATTTAAAAATATCTTTTTATATAACAATAGTTGTGTTGTTAATTTCATCCAGCATGCTCCTATATATCTTAATATTCTTCTAATTCTGTAATTTTTTTGTTTTCTTCTACATTTGAGGAATTTGAGGTAAGAAGTTGATATTATTACCACTTTCATAGATAAAAAATCAGAAATACACATAGATATGCACAAGTGGGCATTTGTCTAGTCATATTCCACCATCTAAAATATTCTTCACCATTTAAAGTATTTTTATAAGTAGTATGAATGTTGACCTTGAAATGTAACAACAGTTTGAACCACTCCATAAGGAAATGTCCATCCTCCTGAAATACTGAACTCTCCAAACTCTGACCGTGATTACTGTTTGTCAGAGACAGAATAAAATTCTTATACTGGGTAAGAGGACTATATCACTGTTTTTCAAATTTTTGTCTTGATCCATTAGTTGGGAAGAACACAACCAACCTTTAAAAAAAGAAATAGAGGATAATAGAGTAGAGCAGAATAGAACAGCATCGCACATAGTGAGGATAAGATTTGATGGTAAAATTTTATGTTCTTCCCCCCTCTTTCTCTGTCTCTTCCTTTTTCTCTCCCGCCACCACCACCATGCATATATATGCTCTAGGTTGTGATGTATTTTTTGCTGTGGGATCGAAGACATTTAAGAAACATTGGATTAGACTGAATTCATGTTACAAAGTACAGGATACTATGCAAAGATTGTTTGTGGAAAAGATACAGATTAAACCACTGTTTTTGCTTAAAATACAGAGAGAAGGGAAGACATCTATAAAAATTAATCAGGCAGGCTATGTGACAAATTCTATAACAAAGTGTTATTGAAGAGCAAGTCTTTATCTTCAAGTTTTGTCCTTCACGTTTTTAAACCTCCCAAATTAAATAAGTATGAAGTAATTATTTTGAAAAATACTGCCTATCTTACTTTTATCTATGTTACTTATATCTTTTGAGATTGGGCCTGGGAAGCTGTGAATCCTGAGTTTGCTCCTTTAACGAAAACAATGAACACAGGGTATGTGGAAAAATATAAACCAATGGATGTGTGTTTGTTACTGACTTATGTTATTCTTGTGTGTATATTTTACATATCTCAACTTGAAAACAAACTGTTAAAATTTAACAAGACACATTTTCTTGAAAGGCAAATACCACATTCAGTTTCTCGTCCCCTAAGAAGTGAAGATTCTGTGTCTAAATCGATTCAATCAAATACTGAAAGAAGCCAGAGTGGTTGGAGGTGAGTCTGAATTTCTCTTTCTTCTTCTGTTCTTCTCCTTTCACTTTGCTCCTCTCCACCCTTCCCTTCTCCCTTAATTTTTCCACCTTTCTTGGACAGAATTATATTTAGGAAATTTCTATAAGTAATAACTAACTATAGCAATATTAGCTATGTTTTATAAAAGAAGTTAAGAGATCATGCTGTATAAAACTTTTAAGATAGGTTAATTTGGCAGTGATTATGTTTCAGAAGAGTTCTTCACGTTATAGTGAAATTTCTGCCAGTTTTTATTGCCATGAATTTGTGATTTTGCTTATGGTCACTAATGGTCAAATTGACAATAGATAAAGGTCAGAAATCATTGTAGTATCTCAATGTCAGATATATTTAAAAATTGAGACCCAGATACAAATAGAATGTTCAGTCTTAGCTGGTAAGACAGTTAGCTCCAAGGTAAACAGAATGGAATAGGAAAGAAAGATGGAGGCTGAGATGCATACACACCTGCAGTGGTAGGGGCTCAAGAAATGAAGAATGCTGTCAAGGAAGATGGTGAGGGTACTTGCCATAAGGATCTAAGTTAAATGTCTAAATAGTATGAAAAAATGAATAAATAGAAAAAGGGTATGGATTATTTTTTAGGTTGGATTTTTTAGTAATCTTGGATAAGTGGCAACTATTGAAGGAAATAATTTTGGAAAGAAAGTACTGGGAAAACAATACCCCAGCGTATCATATATCAAGTCATCATTAAGTGCTTTGATATGTTATTTTAATAATTCTTATAATCACCCTGTTAATTCACTATTACCCTCACTTTTATTAGATAATTTTTTTAAAAACGGGGAAACTTTTTATATAGTGATTAATAAGCACATCAAAATCATATTTTTATTTAAAATATGAGTTTTGATTTTGTTATTTATTCTAGTTTCCTTAGGACTAGTGTGTTAGTTTCTTTAGGACCAGGACTTGAAACTAGGCCTGTTCAGTGGTTTGGGATGGTTCTTGGAGGCATAGTTTTAGCTGCAGGTGCTGGAAGAAAATTGATTTTGATGAGCATTAGGCAGGGAACTAGGTAACAGACTGTAATCAAGACAGGTACCCTGTATTGGATATTCTAGTTTGTAATAGTTGATCTGTCAAGACTATTGGAATAGAACAGAAAATCCAGAAGCAGAAAATGTTTGAAAACCAAGCAGGCAGTTGGTAACATGCCAAAAGTCTTTTAACTGGTGCAATGCTTAGGTTTAGAGTCAAGGTTAGGGTTGCCAGATTTAGCAAATAAAAATACCAGATTCCCAAATTTGAATTTTAGGTAATCAATGAATAATTTTTTAGTATCTATCATATGCAATATTTGGGACATACTTATACTAAAAATTTGTTATTTATTTGAAATTCAAATTTAACTGAATATTTTGTGTTTTATCTGGCAATCCCAGCCTAGACTCTCTTGGAACTTGGAATTTGCAAGAGCAATGTAGGCTTGTGGATATTATAGATATTATAAGATTATCTTAGAGATACTGTGCCATTGGGTAGGTTATCAAGATAGGTTTTAATTACCAGAATTAGAATACTTGACAATTAGTAAGGATGAACTGATGATGTATCTTTGAGCTTTCATGCCAAAGCTTCTACAATTGGTCTTAGACTCTGGGGAGAAATTGAGATTGCACTTGGTAGTTAAGAAATCTCAGATCAAGTGAGATGAAGACTTTAGAAGCTGGGAATTGGACACAACCTGTTAAACAAGTTCATATAGATCCATAAATTGTTTTTTTTTTTCCTTTTTGTCTTTTTTACTGACCGGTAACGGGATCGCAACCCTCGGTGTCGCGCCCGCACCGGGGACCAGCAACGGGATCGCAACCCTCGGTGTTGCGCCCGCCCCGCGCTCAACCAGTGAGCGGGAACCGGTCTCCACATGGGATCCGAACCCTCGGCGGGAGCGCCGCTGCACTCCCAAGCGGAGCACTCTCCAGTGAGCCACCGGGCCGGCCCCCATAAATTGTTTTTAAGGGAAGATAGGAATTTTATTTTTTTTAAAAATAATTTACTGTTTTCATTATAAGAATAATATAATTATTCTAGAAACAAGTAAAAAGAATAAAGTTATTCATAGTTGCACTGTTCCAGAGTTAGCCATTAATTCATTTTTAAACAGAAAACCCAAGCCATTTAATCTCTTTTGAGGCTTATGTTTTTAAAAAAGTTGAACTATGGGATATCTAAAGTCCCTTCAGTGCATTTAGTGCACCGTATCGTGAATAAAACATACAATTCTTCTGATGTATTTATGTAACTCTTGTGCTGTCTTTTCTGTCACTACCATGAAAACATTTGATTAAGGATTTTACAAATACACAAATTTAGCTGATGTTCTTGTATGTGGAATACTTAGAAGGCCTGTTGCCCTTTTTCACCCAGAATTGTTTCTTATCACACATTATGTCTTTCACCCATTCTTCTTAGATAGTTCTATTGTAAATGTTAGATAATATAAAATAATATATAATTTAAGTCAGTAACTCATAGAAGGAGATGGCAGACCCCCCCCCGATCCAGGTAACTGAATTTTGGATCTTTTAAATCTCCTTCATCTTGCTCACGATGGCCAAAGATACAAAGAATCTTCTGTTTCAGACTCTATTTGCATCTGGAACATCCTCTTGACACTTCCATCCTTGTTACAATTGAACAAGGATGACAATTGAATATTGTGCATGTAACCCATTGAGATCTTTTTTTAAAAAACAATTTTAGGGCCGGCCCCGTGGTGCACTGGATAGTGCGCCGCTTGGGAAGCGCGGCGGCGCTCCCGTCCGAGGGTTCGGATCCCACATACAGACCGGCTCCCGCTCACTGGCTGAGCGAGGCGCGGGAGCAACACCGAGGCTTGCGATCCCATTGCCGGTCCCCGGTCCGGTACGGGGGCAACACTGAGGGTTGCGATCCGTTGCTGGACATGGAAAAAAAAGACAAAAGATAAAAAAAAAAAAAAAAAAAATTTTAATTGGAATTGTATGAGGATACTTCAAAAGTTTGTGAAAAATTAAAACTAAAAGGTAATATGAATCTTTCCATGAACTTTCTGAAGATCCCTCATATATTTAAGGTGTACAGCCTAATGTTTTGATGTACATGTACATAGTCACCTGATTTCCATAGTCAGACTAATCAACATTTCCACTTCTTCACATAGTTACCATTTTTTTTTTGTGGTGTGAACACAAGATCTACTTCAGCAAATTTCAAGTGTATGACACTATATTACTAACTATAGTCCCCATGCTATCCTTTAGATCTCTAGAACTTATTCATCCTACATAACTGAAAGTTTGTGCCCTATTTCTGCAGCCACTCTGGGCAACCACCGTTCTACTCTCTGCTTCTATGGGTTCACTTCTTTAGATTCCACATAAAACTAAGCGCGTGTAGTATTTTTCTTTCTGTGTCTGGCTTATTTTACTTAGCATATTAGCCTCTAAGTTCATCCATGTTGTTGCAAATGGCAGGATTTCCTTCTTTTTAAAGAATAATGGAATAATAATCAAATAATATTCAGTAATATTCCATTCTATCTATATACACATTTTCTTTATCAGTTTATCTGTTGACAGACCCTTAGATTGTTTCCATATCTTGGCTATTTTGAATAATACTGCAAAGAACATGGAAGTGCAGATATCTCTGAGATACTAATTTCATTTCCTTTGGGTATATACCCAAAAGTGGGATGGATGGGTCATATGGTAGTTCTATTTTTAATTTTTGAGGACTCTCTGTAGTGTTTTCCATAATGGCTGCACCAAATTACATTTCTACCGACAATGTAGAAATGTAATTTTATTCCTAACTATTTTATTCTTTTTCATGTTATTGTAAATGGGATAGTTCTCTTGATTTTCTCTTGGAATAGTTTGTTGTTGGTGTAAAGAAATACTCCTGATTTTTGTATGTTAATTTTATATCCTATAACTTTACTGCATTCCTTCATTAATTCTAACAGTTTTTTATGGAGTCTTTAGAGTTTTCTACATAGAGGATCATGTCATCTGCAAACAGAGAAAATTTTATTTCTTCCTTTCCAATTTGTGTGCCTTTTATTTTTTTTTCTTGTCTAATTGCTCTGGCTAGGACTGTGTTGAATAGAAGTGGCAAGTGTGGGCATCCGAACCTTGTACTGGATCTTATGGGAAGCGCTTTCAGTTTTTCTCCATTATGATGTTAGCTGTGGGCTTTTCATAATGGCCTTTATTGTGTTGAGGTATATTTTTTCTATATTTATTTTGTTTAGAGTTTTTATTATAAGTGGATGATGAAGTTTGTCAAATGCTTTTTCTGCATCTATTTTTATCTTTTAATCTATTATCATGGTATATCACTTTGATTGATCTGCGTATGTTGAACCAACCTTACTTCTGAGGGATGAATTCCATTTGGTCGTGGTGTGTATAATCTTTTTGATGGGCTATTGAATTTGGTTTACTAGTATTTTGAGGACTTTTGCGTGTACGTTCATTAGATATATTGACCTGTATTTTTCTGGTGGTATATTTATCTTGCTACATTATCAGGTTGATGCTGGTCTCAAAAAATGAGTATGGAAGTGTTCTCTTTTCTATTTTTTGAAAGAGTTTAGTAAAGATTAGTATTAATTCTTCCTAGAATGTTGGATAGAATTCACCTGTGGAGTCATCTGATCTTGTAATTTTCTTTATTGGGATGTTTTTGATTACTGCTTCAGTTTCCTTATTTGTTACTATCTGCTTAGGTCTTCTATTTCTTCTTGATTCAATCTTGGTCGGTTGTGTGTTTTTAGGTAATATTTCTTACGTGTTATCCAGTTGTCATATAATGGTTCCTTATGATCCTTTTTATTTTTGATGCATCTATTGTAATGCTCCTCTTTTATTTTTGATTTTACTTACTTGAGCCTTCTCTCTTTTTTTCCTTAGTCTAGCTAAGGGTTTATCGGTTTTGTTTATCTCTTTAAAATACCAGCTCTTAGT